TGGCCCCTGCCTCAGGCCAACAAGTCACCTAAAATACACCGCACGGACACATGAAGCATTCCCTATGCTGTCTTCCTATAGTTCTGTGATTAACTTCACTGAAGGAAACCACATGTAGAAGCAAATCTCACAACCTTTTGAGACCAGGCTATCTGGGGGGCAATCAAAAGATGCGTGTGTGTATATTTTAAGATTTATTTTTTATTTGAAAAGCAGAAAAAGAAAGAGAGATAGAGACACAGAGAAAGAGATCTTCCATCTGCAGATTCACTCACCAAATGGCCACAATGGCCAGGAATAGACCAGGCTGAGTCCAGGAGCCTGGAGATGTGTTTGGGTCTCCCACGTGGGTGGTAGGGGGCCTGATTACTTGGGCCATCTTTGGCTGCTTTCCCAGGCACATTTGCAGGAAGAACAGTCGGAAGCACAGCTGCTGGCATTTCAATCAGTGCTCACACAGGATGTGGGCATCCCAGGTGATGGCTTAACCCGCCATACCACACCACAGGCCCTAATCAAACTGCATTGAGCTTGAATTTTTATCATTATTGCACAGTTCTATAAAAATTTACTAAAACCACTGACCTGTACACTTAAAATGTGCGGATTTCAAATGTAAGTTGTGTCCCTATAAAGCTGTCCCTTCAAGAAAGTAATGTCATTATTTCCTACTCAAGGTAGAATTGAAGGAGGATTTTCCCAAGCATATTTATACTGAGCTAACTTCTCTACCGGTCTATGTTAAATATAGGTTGCTCAGGAAGTCCCTCCCATGACTGAGTTTCTTTTCACACATGCAATCTCACCTGACTTGGAGAAATCCACTAAAGGACCCCCCAAAAATCAAGTAGGTTCACAACTTTTCAGAAGTCATCTGGGTGCCATGGAGAATAGGGTTCATTTAAGTAGCTGTGTAGAGTGATGGGGAACAATCACTCCCTACTACAACTAATAATGTCATAAAAGAAAATGAGGGCAAAATCAAGGCTTTCAAGAAAATATGTGGATAACTCTACACTAAGACACATAATCACCTACAGAATGAATGATTCTCACTGACGGGAGCCTGGGGTAGGCAGAGTCATCATGAACCTGTAGCTTCACATCTACATAGGAATGATCAGCTGTAGTCTACCTACCGGCAAATGCTCATATGGATGAGTGTTGATAGCCAGCACATCCCAAACTTGAACTCAAAAGAGTACTGTTGGTATTCAGGAAAAATATCCAAGAAGGCTAACAACATACTATCAGAGGTAGAGAAATGGGAACAAGAATAAAACATCAGAAAGAAGTGCTGGGCAGACCAAACATCATTTGGAGCCTGAGGGTCAAGCACAATGGAGATCCACTTTCTAATACTGAGGCCAGAGGTCAAGAGAGCTACGCCACAGACTGACCTGTGGTTGATCTGCATGAGACATTTACTTAAGCTTCCTTTAATGCTCCGTGATTTGTTCCAGGGCCCTGGCTGAGGGTTCAGGTAGGGGCTACGTGGCCTCAGCTGAGGGAAGAGAGCACTGTGGAGCCTGCTGTATCACTACAGTAAGTTAATGTGTCAGGCAGGTTAAGATTTGCCTGCCTCTCTACCCTCCCTGTTGAGCAGAAATTTGAGCTCCACGGTCCTGTCACACTATGTGGAACCTGAAGGGGAAACGTGTAAAAATTCACTTGCCTGAAATAAAAGACAGACCGGGGGACACTTGTTTGGAGTATGTCTAACTGAATATGCTTCCTACATTCAGATGCCTGGAAATAAACTCGCTATGACATAGTGTCTACATTTATATCCAAATCCCAAACTTCAAAATTTGGAAAACCAAAAGATGGAGCAAATAGTCTGGCAATTTGTAAACTAAATTATTTTTAAAGCCATTTTTTTTTCACTCTGTCTCCCAAGAAACTTAGGTGGGATCATGATAATGAACCTCAATCAGTGCTTCTGCCCCAGCATCCCGTGATGTACACAAACCCATAGCAGCGCTGAGTTCAGTAGTTCCAGTCCTACTGAAATAAGAAAAACAGAACAAGTAAAATGACAGTAGAAGGGAAATACTGCATTTTACAGGCTGTAAGTCGCCCAACTTGGAAAGAAAACCCACAAGCGCAAGTGTCCAAAAACAATTCTGTGACTCAATGCCATAAATCAGGCCCAGATGTCACAAACACAATAAATCAATTGAAACTGCCAAACCACTTCTCTCAGCCTACTGGATTTAATTAAAACCACAACTCAGTTCATGAGAGGCCTTCTAATAGAGCAGATAATATCACTCAGGCTCAGCCAGGCCCCCGAAGCTGATGGCGGAGACGCGGCATGTTAAATTCTAATCCAGGGCCTGTTCAACACGGCAGGGTTTAGTGCACATCGGCGGTGGCTTCCCACGTGCTCGTCCTGAAGCGCTCATTGAGATGCTATCCATCAGCCTTTGCCATTAGAATACAGCAAGCGCCGGGTAAATGCTGTAGGGATATTGACTCCCCAGTCCTTGTTTATGTGTGCACAGTACAGCTCCGTCATTGAAAAACAGCGCAGCGTATGTAATCCAATGGATAAAACAAGGTAGCACTGTGCCTGGTGGATTTAAATTCTTGAGCAAATCTCCCTAAGACTTTCTAACCCAAGCTCAGTGCCTATAAGGATTTATGCCCAGAGAGCTTATAAATAAGGCTGCTCAGGAGAAAGACAGAGAGAGGGAGGGGCGGAAGAAAACACCAGGAAACACTCACAAACGATTAAGAATTCATGAGGCCGACAAAGGACCCAGGTTTGAAAGCATCTTCCAGGACTGGAGGTTAGAAGGCTGCTTGGCCCTGCCACAGAAAAGCTCCCCTGAGTTTACTGCACGGGGGACACCGAGATGTCCACCCCTGGGGTTGTCTGAACGGGACGGGTCGCATTAGTCACCGGGAACAAGATCCACCCTCGGCCAGCAGGAGTTCTTGGGGAAGTTTCCTTGTGTACACTGGGCTCGGTGTTAGGAAGACACAGCAGGCTATGTTTGGCATTTTTGCCTTGAGTTATTGACATGTTTTAAATTATGCTGTTTTATGTCCATTCGTAACAGAACAGAGATCTGCTACAAACGATATTTATTAACAGACCGCCTCAGGGGCTGAGCAGACCCGTGCTTGCCATGGAATCTTCGAACAGACAGGCAGGGAGCGCCTTCACGAGCCGTTGGCTTCTCGGAGCGGCAAGTGGATGATGGGGGTTTGTTGTCTTTTTGCATCACTGTCTGACTAATTGCCTCCCAGGCCTATTGCCTTGGCCTAATTAACAATATGCACAAATCCTAAGCAAAGAACACATGGATGAGCCCTCTCCGGAGGAAGTGTGGAGTCCCTAAGACTCTGGGCATGACATGACTCCTCATCATGGTACACACAGGACTTCAGTCTGTTCAAGGTCAAGGGCACTGTACTTGGAGCTGTCAGAAGGCACCAGAAGAAACCATATATACTGGTTGTGGTTTAAAAATCAGCAGCCTTGGTGTAATTCATCATCTTCTGCAAATTTTACCATTTGTTGACTGTAAAACTTTTAATAGTGATTGGTTCCAGTAGTTAAAAAAAAAAAGAGGAAAACACGTTTGATCTAACTGAGGATAAAACATGATTTAAGAGAAGTCAGGACATGGGGAGGAAGTGAGAATAAATTTACTGTTCAACCACTTTTCATTAACTAAATAATTAGTACCACAGAGCTTCAGGGTGTGTGTGCCACAGGACACAGGAGTCAACCAGGGAGGAAGGACTTTATTGTTCTTGGGATTTTATTATCAAATGCCATACATTTATTGAAAGGCCAGGTATGAAGGCCCCACTACTGCCACATTAGATTACGCTTTCCTTTTCTTAGTAACTCAGCAAAAATCTTTTAGGTAAGAAATTCTGCTTGTTGACTTTGAAGGTTACATTAACCCTGAGAAATTAAGTCATGCATATCCCTCAATTGTAACATCCAGTAGGTACAGTTTTTTGTCTTCTAGTCTTATGAAACTCCAACTAAAAATGGAATGACAAATAAAAATGTATTACATATGCATAGAGATCCATTAAAAAGTTTTCTCTAAATTTGATTTTTAAAAATCACCCAACTACCAAGGTCATGACTATAGCAACCAAAAGACTGGATTCCAACAGTTGCATGGGTTTCGCTGGGAAGTCAACTGGGGCATCAGAGATTAAAGCAATGATTTAGAAAACGTAAAGGCCTGGTGGTAGATTGCCACTTTTCTTTCCTCTTTTCCATTCCAGAGTGAAAGGGAAACAGCAATAATGTTTTCAACTTGAAAAAGAGGTTTTTTTTTTTGTTTTTTGTGTTTTTTTTTTGTTGTTTGTTTGTTTTGTTTTGTTTTGTTTTTTGGTCTTGGAAATGTATGTCAACTATGGGGGAGGGGAATTTCACCCGGGGGCAGTTTACACACAAAGCTGTAAGCACACGGGAACAGTCATCAAAATGAGGTCCTATCCACAAGAAACCTGGTCGGCACCTGCCATGTGCCAGCCCCTCCCCCACGCCACATTCCCAGTTGCATGTCCAAGGGGCTGTCTTGAGTAAGGGACGGAGGTCTTCGGTTTTCTGACTGTGCCAAGGAAAGACTTATCCTGTGCCAGCACTCCTTCTGCCACCCTCTGGGGAACTGAACTAAAAGCTGAACTTGTCTCCTTTAGGATCAAGAGCGACACCAGTAATTAACACAAGATGTTGTTGCTCCACGGTTTACCTTGTTCCCCATTCTCTCTGCTAATGGGTTCTGCTCATGAACTTCAATCTTAACAACCCTGCAAACGAAGTTATCACCGCTACGCCTACCTATGTAGACAGAGAGAGCAGCGATTTGCTCACGAGTGCCACGCTGGCGAAAGGTAAAATGTGGCATAAAACCTAGAAGCAACCCTGGATCCCATGCCCTCATCCAGTGCACAAAATCTGGCCAGGTCCAAGCAGGACACACATTTTTGATGGCTATGGCGTAGGGGAGGTGGCCACTCACCAGTCTGCTCAGCCAGCTGTTTTCCCTGGGCGTGCAACAGATCGTGTTTAAGGTCAACTGGTTTTCACCTGCCTCGACTCCAGCGATTTACAATTATTTCTTTATTAAGAAAACGCTCAGTGTGTGAATGGTCCCTCTGAAAAAGTGCCAACAGAGAGGCCTTGTCAGTTTTTTGGCAGAGACGCATCTAAACACATAAAAACAAGTTTAAACACCATCATTTATGCATAATTCTTTCTTGGCATCATCCCTCACTTGCCACAATTTGCAGCCAGAAAACACTTATTTCTACTTTCCTTTCTGTAGGAAGAATCCGGCCTTAAGTGGATCTAATTCCTTCCCAGAAGAGAAACAGCCTTGTCAGGACATGGCGGGGGTGCGCTGCGTGCCTCCGAGACATCAAGGTTCCATTGACGGCACAGCTGCGCCGACTCGGAAAGCTGGGGCCCAGCCAGAGCACCGTGCCCACTGAGAGCTGCAGTCTGCAATGATAAACACACAGCTGCCTTCGGCGAGGGCCACGGGCATAATCAATGGCCCCGTCTCCAGCAGAGCCTGCGCAAATCGTGACTGCGATGGCCGTGCGTTGAATATCACACAACGTGTGCCAAGCGGGGAGCTGTCCCCAGGGGGAGGGGAGGGGAAGACAGAGGCCACTGCAGAGAGAGGACCCGCAAGGATCTGCTTTGCCGCTGATTTACTGCCTCGGAGCCCTCTTGCTGCAAAGAGTTCATAAGGCCTGTGATCTGAGTGCTTGCCCACGGGACCACAATAACATTTATCTAGCATAAATTAATGTGTTTCAACCACTAATTCAATTTGGCTGTCTCGTTCCTCTGGTTTTGGCAAAGCCCAGCCCTGCTGTCATTCGGTCACCCGGTGACTCCCACGCAATGGCTGTGTCTGCTAAACAGTCACACTCCACCAGGAACAAAGAGTCGCCATAAAAATACACCTCCCGAGCGCATTTGGAGCTGTGCTAATTGAAACTTCCTCTTTGGAGAAGGCTGATCAAAACCAGCTGTAGGAGTCAAACAGGAACAGATTTCCACATCATAGGGAGAGGCCAGCGGATTCAGCGAGAGCTGCCTGGGAGTCGGGCGGGCATTCCAGCCTGCACAAACGCTCCTAATTGGCTCCTGGCACGTTGCAGAGAGCGTGTGACCCGAGCCCGCAGAGCTGCGGGGACCAGCTTCTCCAGATGACAGGAAGAAAGAACCCAGGACTGCAGTTCTCATAAAATCCACAGCAGTGAGCATTCCCAAGGAACACGTGCGAACCCCCACCAAAGCTCAGGGTGTCAGGAAACGCTTAGGAAGTGGCATAGTGTTCTGGGGACGGCGATCCAAGAGCTGAAGGGTCTTCATTGCTAAGAGCGCCTTTTAAGAACAGAAACAAAACCTCCACCTCGCAGAGGAGCAAACGAAATTCAAGTAAGAAACAAAAACCTGGAGAATCACAAAAAACAAGGACTGCACTTTAAGATCACACACGAGCTGCCCCTTCCTCTTCGGTGCCTTGGGACTTTTCTCTCCCCAGACATAATGGCTGCTTTCTGCCAACAAGCACAGAAGAGAATGCACGCCCCAGTTTAGCAGAAAACGTGCAATAACCATGCATTTTCCCTGTTAGCTTTACTATAAGGCGGTTTGGCCATTGCTAAAGGAAGGAGTCACCAATATGTCAATGGCATAATCCACCCATCAAGTATGTGAAGTTTATTTAATTTAGATAATCAGATTGCCTGGAAATATTATAGGCAAGTTTTTCTTTATATCACTTTAAGTATCATATAAACTAGCAAGGATCGCTGGTCTTTGATTTATTTACTCATCAGTTTAGCATAGTGTCTAGTTTTGTAGCAACGCCACAATGATTCCTACAGATCAAGGGAGGGGAGGGTTATTTAAGTGGATGCTGACAGTGTCATTACACCTCACCTGCAAAAGAGTGCGAGGAATTGTATGTAGCATATGAATGATGATGGCTGTTTTGGAGAATATAATTATAACTCAAGAAATAATAGCGTGAAAGTTGAAAATGTGCTCCGTCTCCCCCTCCTCCCCAAAACACACACGCACACGCACACACACACACACACACACACCTCTGGAATGCATTAGGTGGCTATCCACTCCTTATGTGTTTTTTGCCATCGCAAATACAACGTACTAAAACTCACTGGGTTTAAAAGCAAAACTAAACAAAACACCCACATAAAAGAAGAAATTACATGGAGACAAAGTGATGTGACTCTGTGCTGGCCTCATTTTTGTGCTCAAGAACTCACACGGAAGGTTTAACAGAGTGACCTACGACATGGCCTCTGGTGCGTGAGACGTGGGGTTCGGAATTTGTGAGGACAGCGATGGGAAGTATTCCTCAAGCTTCGTGATGGCTCAGATGACTTGTCAGATACTGACTCATCCTCAAGGCATCGTGCGACTCACACTTCAATGCTGTGCCCTTGACTTTACTTAGCTCGTTTGTCCCCGTGCGATAGGCACCGCAGAGTCTGTATTTAGTGCTCTTACAGTGTCAGAGGGTTCTGACGGGTTTGGAAGAATTTCTAAAGACAAGGTTAAATAATGAAAAAATTTAGCCAAACGCAACCACAACATTCTGATCTAAAATGGGGTCTAGGAAGGCAACCATTGACGCAGCTATATTATTTTTTAAAAAATTCAGACATGCTAAGTTCTCATGTGCATTGCTACCCAAACTGAGCTGCAAGTTAACTAGAACATTCTAATAAAAGAATATGCTTCATCTAGAAGTTTCCAACAGTCTTAGAGTTAAAACAACAAAAAACAAAATGACTTCCAGGTTTCGTATAATTGGAAACAGCGGAAAGCAGTCCCCTCAAAAGCAGTCGACAGACTCATTCCTTCCCTTCTGCCTCACCCTTGGCTCAGACCATCTTCCACGTAAGAACTGCAAGGCAGCCGTCCTCAAGACCCAGAGCGCACCAGCCTCTCCGACAGCCGCACAGCGCTACCTCCTTCTTTTACACTGCCGCTGACATGTGACCCAGAGCAGAAGGAGCTAGACAAGCCCAACGCCACAGAAACCCTACTGAGATGTGGGGTGACGTCACACATGTGCAGGTTCAGGAATAAGCAGAGAATTCATCTCAGGCCGGCAGCACTGCAGTCGACAAAACCTGCCCAGTCCTGGGGATGAGATTTAGGAGCTGAGCATGGCCTCTCTGTGGGGCGAAGAGTGGGCCAGAAGCCATGCATCCCAGTGATATTTTTTTTTATTACAGGATACATTTTAAAATTCATCATGACGCTTGTGTAAAACTACATACTTCAGGGCAAAATAGATAATCCTCAGCTTAAGGATTCAAATAAAAAGCAGGGCTCAGAGTGGATGGCCTAGAAAAAGAAAAGCAAATTATCAGCTGACTACTGTCCTGTGTGGGGTCTCATGAGAGAGAGACAGCTGGTCTCTTACTCTCCCTGGAACGTGTGTCTGTAACACTGACTTTACCCAGAAGTGCGGTCCAGACTCAGGTTTCCTTGATGGAAAACGAAGGAGTAGACGTCACTGCATGAAAATGCTACACAAGCAGAATAGCCCAGAAATTCACTCCCCCCCCCCACCCCGCCGTGTGTTACAAATAATAGTAACGAAAGCACCCTTGGAAGAATACTACAAGTGGTCAAGCCCCCTGCGTAATGATGGAAGACATGAATTAACTCTCACAATGACTAGAAAACCCAAATCATTTTTAAAATCACCATCACTAAACCTGCTTGAAGCTACCTGATGGCTAACAACGCAGTGAGGAATTATAGGAATAAGATCAATGGAAAGACATGAAAAGCTGATAAATGAATCTAGGGGATGGTTTCCCCTAAGAGCAGCTGTCAGTTCTGAAATGGGCACATTGGAAGCTAAGAAGCTAAGGAGGACTTGTGAGCAGCTTGCAGAAGTACAGGCACAGGGGCTGGCACTGTGACTCGGTAGGTCAAGGTGCACTTGCATTGCCGGCATCACACACACCAGTGCTGGTTGCAACCCTGCCTGCTCCTCTTCTAATCTAGCTCCCTGTGCACGCAAGGGCATCAGAAGATAGACCGAGTCCTTGGGATCCTTGCCACCAGATGGAGGTCCTGGCTCCTGCCTTCAACCCATCCCAGACCTGGCTATGGGGACCATTTGGGAAATGAAGCAGGGATGGAAGAATTATCTGTGTCACTCTGTTTTTCAAATAAACAAAAAAATCTTAAAAAAAGAAATATTAGTTCTGGCTGCACATACTTAAAACCTTAAAAGCAGCTTAAACAAGAAATTTTATTACACACACACACACACACACACATACACACAAACACCCACTCTTTTGGTGGCTGGTATGCAAGTCAGCTTTAGAAGATCTGTAGAAAGCCAGACTCTACTCTTGTTCCACTGGCTGTTTAGTACGGGAGCTGCCATGTTCAAGGTTATGGTTCCTTACGGCCGGCAGAGCTCTACTGGTCATGTCCAGTGGGCCAGCCAGAAGCAGAAAAGCCAAAGATTAAAAGTCCTCACTTTCTGTTTGAAGAAAACACAGGCAACACTTCTGCTACTGCAATGACTAAATGATATCAACCGTGGGATAATTCTAATATACACACATTTCTTGCTAAAAATAACAACTATTTCAGCTTTAAAATATTTTCAAACCGAATAGGAGATTCTTGAAGAGTATTAAAAACTTACATCATTACTGATGAGTAAACTTGAGAAGCATTCTGATTAAAAGACAGATAAAATCAGATTCAACTTTTTATGGGGGCCATGGAAATGCAAAACTACTAAAAAAAATAGGATAGAAGAACTTACATGAGACATTTTGTCATCATTTATGGTTAATGCGACTATGTATGAAATTCAAGCAGCACTGGAAATGAATTGTTAGAACTAAAATGAGAAGTTTGTGTCTTTGATGGAATCTAAAACCAACACTCAAAACTCAAAACCAGTCTTTTCATTAATCATTGATAGCAATCTAATAATATAACAAAGATATTCTTCATAACAGCAATAAACATTGTAAGATTAATATGCACAAATCTAATCAAACTGTATAATATGTGAAGGAAATTATCACATATTCCTAAAAGATATATTTTTTACAGCCTGAATTAATGAGATATAACATACTTATTACGGGAAGATTCAATATTTAAAGACAAATTTTTTTCTCCAAATTAATCTGTAAGTTTAATGCACTTCAAAGAAAATCCCATCTAGTTCTTCATTTCAATAACATTGCAAGCTAATTAAAAAATTCAGGAGGAAGAGGAAAAAGGGCCAATAAAACGTAGCCAGTTTTGAAGAACAATAAGAGATAATTTCCCTAGGAGCTGTCAAGATTTATCAAGGTATTACAGCAGTTATAACATTCTAGGGGACAGGGTAGGTACCAACATCAATGGGTCAAAGCAGAGGACCTAGAAAGAGAAAAACCCTGAATTGCAAAGTTATTATTTGGGAGAACTAAGGAAATGATTATAAATT